AACCATGGATCAGCCTGGGTCAGCTCCTGGATGTTACTGTTGACAGTATTGCTTTGGGTCAAAGGCATTCACTTCTATGCTTTGTATTTGGAGCCAAATGGGAAGTCGTGAGGGGAGATCTGGTGGAGCATGAATGTCTCTATGACCACCTGATAGGAGATTAAGTGCTGATGACAGCCATTTAACCTTGATTCAAGGCAAGATGTCACAGTCTGTACAATGTCAGTGAGGGAGGACCTGGGATCCAGAGCTGGTCCTACCACTCCAGTGGAAAAGAAGGGAGTCAGGCTGTTGATTAAGGCCATATTTTTTTTAAATTGAGGTGCATTATGTAGTTAATAGTAACTGATTTGGACAAGCTGCCTCATGTCTCTGCGTCTTGGTCTTCTCATCTGTAGGATGGAAGAATTATAGCCAGTACATCCTAGGTTTGCTATGTAGGGTAAATGAACGACTCTTAGAAGAGTGCTGGAGTATGCCAAGGGTGCTAGGAGTTTGTCCACTTAGGCTTACAGGGGTCCCAACTGGGGTGTTGGGATGAGCATCTGCTCAGCCTCTCTGGAGAAGCATCCATGACCCTCCCAGATGATCAGGAGGGTGACCCATAGCAGACTCCCTCCCTCTGGGATCTCTCATAGACTTTCAATATTCAAGGTCCGGTATTCTCGCATTCTTAAACCAGATTAAAGAGGAGTGGAGCCACATGATCTCATGGATCTTCCTGCCCAGGTTGGCTGTGAACTGTGATCCTCAGATCTCAGCCTCCTGAGTAGCTAGGATTACAGGCATGAGCCACCGACGCCTGGCTGTTTCTTGCTTCTTTTAAGGCTGAAAAGACCAAGATCGGGGTCCTAGTACAAGGAGATTGAATGGCCCATTTTCTAGCCTATAGATGACGACTTCTGACTATGTCCTCACTTGATGAAAGAAGTGAGGGGATCTCTCTTGAGACCTTTTTTTATAAAGACACTGATACCATTAAGAGGGTCTCAGGACCTAATCACTCCTTAGGGGCCCACAACCTCATAGTATCTCCCTGGGGATTTGAATGGGAATGACAAGATTTGAGGAGAGAGACATTTGGGTCATACTACTATAGGAACTTGGGCAAATCACTTAACCTCTGTGAGCCTGCTTAGCATTCTTCTGGGTAAAATATAGATTGCAATAATACCTTATGGTATACTCAGACACTATTACAGCAACATCTTTTTTTTAATATGTTTTTATTGTAAAGATACTGTACAGAGGGGTTACAGTTACATGAGTAAGGTAATGAGTACATTTCCTATCAAGCATTGTTACCACCTCCTTTGTTTTTCCCCTACCCTCCCTTCCCTCCCACCTCTACAACTACCCTCTCCCCCTCTCCCTCCCCCCTCTGCCTAAATTGTAAAGTTAGTTTTTCAACATAATGTCTTGTATATCTCATTGTTACCATGGGTCAACCTATTTAAGCATTTTGTTTTTTCCCTTCCCCTCCGCAAGCTAGAGAAGTGTATATACAGGGCAACGACATCAAATACAGTCAAAACAGGGGTTATACCATGAGGGAGGAACATACAAAGAAACAAAAAAAATCACATGGTACATTATAAATGCATTAGGAACAATAGCAAGAAAGAAAAAACCACTTGTGTCCCTATCTTGGGGTTCATTTTGCTTAACATTTTGCTTATCTGGTCATATGTACATAGCTTTTGACCTTTTCTGCTTGTCCCAGACATATACTAGCTATGGCAAATAAGGGAAAGCATGGGACCTATGTTTCTTTGGGCCTGACTTACTTCACTTAATATAATTTTTTCCAAGGCTTTCCATTTCCTAACAAATGGGGCAATGTCATTCTTTCTGATGGAGGCAGAGAATTCACATATATATATATATATATATATATATATATATATATATATATATATATATATATCACATTTTCTTGATCCATTCATCTACTAAGGAGCATCTGGGTTGGTTCCATATCTTAGCTATGGTAAATAATGCTGCAATAAACATAGTTGCGCTGGTAGCTTTAGTATGGTCTTGTTTGTGATCATTCGGGTAAATGCCCAAAAGTGGGATTGCTGGGTCATAGGGGAGCTCTATATGGAGTCTTTTGAGGAACCTCCATACTGCTTTCCAAAGTGGTTGAGCAAGTTTACACTCCCACCAACAATGCAGTAGGGTTCCCTTCTGGCCACATACCCTCCAGCATCTGTTGTTATTAGATTTCTTGATTTTAGCCATTCTAACTGGGGTGAGGTGGAATCTCAATGTTGAGCAACATCATTTTATTAGATGTGAGCCACTAAGCTTCGCCTACATTTAGGGAGCAGTGGGATTGATTAAACTCAGGAAGGGGAGGAATGTCAAAGAATTTGAGGGTATATTTAAAAACCATCGTAAGCATTTTCTTCTTGTTATTTATTGACTATGAATACATAGTGCCAAGAGCTTTAGAGTCATTATGTCATGTCCTCCTCTTCGTAATCCAAAGACACAGGCAAAATGATTGTCGTTGCTTTTGGAATGAGGAAATGGAGGCCCCCCCAGAGCTTCATTTGCTCACAGTTACCTACATGAACACCCGGTCTACATGAACACCCGGTCTGTCATGAAACTGGGTCTGTCAGAGTTTAACACCTGAGCTCTTACCTCTACCTTGTATGCTGCTGTCTAATAATCTTGTGGTGGGAAGTATGTTGAATTTTGGTTATCTCTGCCTTTACCATGTAACCACAAACCCTGGCTCATTTAGCTCTCTTTCTTCTTTCCTTTCACCCATTGCTTGAAAAGATATTCGAAAGAGAGTGAGCATGATTATGCTTTATAAAGAGCACGAATACATGGATTCATAATATATCCTAATACAACTACCAGTCCACATGTTCTGTTCTGTGTTATTTAAGTGCAGAAACTGTTTATCAAGTCTGTCTGATGTGGGGACCATGATGTATAAATTGGTTAAAGATTAACAAAAGAAAAAAAAATGACTGCTTGATCAATATACACATTTTCCTCACTGTGAAGCCAAAGAGGTTGAATGTGAAATCTTTGTCTTCTCTTTTAAATTCTTTACAAGCTTCCTTCTTTCAATGATTTAGTGACTGCAAACCCCGCTTGCTTACATAAAGCCAGAAAAAGCAGTCTGGCCCCTGGGCTGAGTGATAGGAGAGGGTGTCTGTGTGTTTGGTGTGTTTCCATACTGACAACAGCCACTGTCTGAATGGTATGACAACCCAGAACTCTGCCAAGATGGCAGGGGCAGTGTGTCTGGGGGTGATGGGCACACACAGGGGAAAGCCACCAGTGGAGAGAGGGCAGTTGGCCCTTGCTGTCCTATTTCCAGTAAACATTGTTTTGATGCTCTCATTACTTTCTCGGTACATTCTGGAGAATGTGGTTTGCTGGAGGCAGCATCCTGCCTGATCTGATGTCTTAAGGTTTCCATGTTTCCCAGCATTCCATGCCTGGTATTGGGAAGGAAGTTTGGGTTTCTGGGACCTGGGCAGAGAAGAGTGAAGTTTGTTTTTTTTTTTTTTAGAGTGCCACTATGGACTTGAGAATGATGGGGAGCCGGACATTGTTGAAAATGTCACTTCCCACACAAAGTGACAAAGACAGGGTCTAAGGCAGGGTATGTGTGTGTAAATGAGGCTGCTGGAGGCTCTAGTCACGTCCCAAGCCAGCGCTCATGGTGTCTGTTACCATAGCAACTAAGGGCAGATGGAAAAAGCCCTCAGGATGCCAATGTGCCACTGGGCCTACTCTCTAGTGCTTGATTCCTTCATCCCGGGACCCATCCCTGTCTTCTCCACAGGATGGCTTCTACTCTGGGCAGTTTTAAATTGTAGCTAACTTTACACTTCTTGAAGTCCCATTAAACAATCATTATTGAGTAGTTGTATAAAGAGGTAATAATTCTGTAAGTCAGGTTGTAAGTACAATGCTTCTTGGTCAATGTTACTCCTTCCTTTCTTCTCCCCTGTTTTCTTCCTTCTGTCCCCTACCCTCTAGTTACATAGTTCACTTTTTACATAATGTACATTGGATATAATGTCTACACTTGCTCACGCTTCTTCTGTTCCCGTGCCCCTTTTACCTACCCCCAAAACATGTTCTCACTTCCTGGTATTCATTTTGGTAAGTAGTATGTTAGTTGTTCAGAGGAGTTGTGCCTTTTGTTTCCTTGCCTAAGTCTACCTTCCTTTTGTCAGTTTATTTTGGTAAATGCATTGAGCCCTGAGTATGTATCATACAGAGTTATATTTTAGGTCTAGCTTATACATATGAAAGAAATCATGCCATTTGTCTCTCTGAGCTTGGTTTTCCTCACTTAACATGGTTTGTTCTAGGTCCATCCATTTCCCTGCAAATGACATAATATTATTTTTTTAAAATAAGGTTTTTATTATGAAAATACTGTACAGAGGGGTTACAGTTACATGAGTAAGGTAATGAGTACATTTCCTATCAAGCATTGTTACTTCCTCCTTTGTTTTTCCCCTACCATCCCTTCCCTCCCACCTCCACAACTACACTTCCTCCCCTCCCCCACATCTAAATCGTAAACTTTGTTTTTCAATATAGTGTCTTGCACATCTCACTGTTGCCATGGGTCAACCTGCATCCCTATTTAAGCATTTTGTTTTTTCCCTTCCCCTCCCCAAATTATACCAACATCAAATACAGTGAAAACTGGTGTTATACTGTGGGGGATGGACATACAAAGCAACAAAAAATCACATGGTATCTTATAAATGACATTAGAAACAATAGTAAGAAAGAAAAAACCACTTCTGTCCCTATCTTGGGATTCATTTCACTTGACATCATCTTATCTAACCTTTTCTGCTTGTCCCAGACATATACTAGTTATTGCAAATAAGGGAAACCATGGGACCTATGTTTCTTTGAGCTTTCCATTTCCTAACAAATGGGGCGATGTCATTCTTTCTGATGGAGGCATAGAATTCCATTGTGTATATATACCACATTTTCTTGAAAAACGATGTTTAGATGCCACGACGTAGGTGGCAATGCCTTAACCGTATGCATGTTGTTAGGCCCACGGGCCTCTTCCATCCTTGTCCAGGGGAGTGCTAGCCCTCTCTCCTTTTATACAACACTAATATTATTCTTTCTAATGGATGAGTAAAATTCCACTGTGTATAGGTACCACATATTCTTCATCAACTTACCCATTGTAGGACATCTGGGGTATTTCCCTAACTTGGCTATTGTGACTAGTACAGCAATGAATATGGATGTGCAGGTGTCTTTACCACATCTTGACTTGTCATGCTTTGGATGACCAAGAGGGATATCTTTATACTTCTTTAAGTCTCACTTTTAATTTAATGAATTTTTTTATGCTAGTATTAGGGCTTTCACTCTTGCTTGGCTTTTTTCCTCTAGGCTGGTGTTCTATGATTTGAGCCATACCTCTACTTGTGGCTTTTTTTCTGGTTAATTGGAGATACAGTCTCAAGGACTTTTCTGCCTAGACTGGCTTTGAACCCAGATCCTCAGATCTTAGCCTCCTGAGTGCCCAGGATTATAGGTTTGAGCTACCAGCACCTGGCCTGATACTTAACCTTGAACTCGCAGTCTGGTTCAAACCTTGAGCTTTTTGGATGTGTTCTCAAAGAATAGAGAAGGCCAATGAAACATGGAGATGTAACCTGTAGTGTTTGGTGAAGACATGTGGATTTTGGTACTGCCTGGGGGCTGTGGTGAGGTGGCGTGGTGGTCCGAGGGTGAGGTGGTGGGTTTCGGATTATACAGGGTTATATGAAGGAGTCTTCCCCTACACCTCCACACACACAAATAATGGGAAGGCCTGAGATGGTGGGAAGTTGGAGGTTGATATACCGAATTTTGATTTTGAAGATGAAATGGTTTATAGGGAATCATCGACGCAGTGACTGCTTATAAAAGATGTCTGTGATATGGCAGATATGAGGCTGAGTGCTGGACTGCCCTGGGGTCTATGTCTTTTTGTTAGAATCATGGGAAATGATGAAACTTTTAGGCAGGAAAGAGCTCCTCTTGACAGCTTTGGTTTAGGATAACCAAATCCAGTGCTCTGGTTGCAATTGGGAGTTATGTCTTAAAGCAAAGGCAGCTGCATTGTCAATTTCTATGAATGAAGAGAATCTTTTCCCTGGATTTGCTATTCAGACCTGGCTTCTATGATAGTGTACATATCTGGGATAAACAAAGCAATAAACCGTATTCTCCGTTCTTCAAGCCTCTCTTGAAAGCATGCAGCTACCAGTCCTGCATAATGAGCCTAATAGAAATGGCCAGTTTTCCCTCCATCTCTCCAGTTACTTTGTTTCTGGTGTGTCTGGAGGTCTTGTTAACACTGAGGTATTTCTTCTTTGCTTATAATGGGACCCCCTGCCAGGCCTGTCCTTGTGGCCGCAGCTCAGATGGTCTCCCCAGAGACTGAATTAATGAGCGGGGTCTGTGAGAGAAAATTCTATAGGAGCATGAATGCCTGCCCGTCAGGCAGTAAGCTCTGCACTCAGTTCTAAAGACAGGCAGAGCAGACAGCCACAGCGGGAGGGGCCGGAGGAACCCTAAGTCTGTCCACCCTGACCCACACTGTTTCCCACCACCACCAGTAGCCTTCAGCCCCACCCGGTGCTGCCATTCATCCGTCTGATCACGGGGTGATTGCTGGCAGAAACGGGGCTGGACACAAATGAGAGAGCCTGAGGCTGTGCAACTAGAGAAGTTGCAGTCTGCCCACGGACACAGAAGCCTTTTTCAGTAACTGCTATGCACCATAATAAATATATCAATAGAGATATAGATTAATTCCTCATCTCCACAACACAGCTTGTTAAAGTGCAAATAAGAGTCCCTCAGGGTATCTTACTACCTCTTCAGTGCCCACTGAGACAGCCAAGTTCATTGCTTCTGAGAGAGCATCAAGAGTGACTGGGAGCCAGCCCATGGCTCATGGCTGTAATTCTAGCGACTCAGGAAGCTGAGATCTGAGGATCATGGTTCAAAGCCAGCCCAGGCAGGAAAGTCCGTGAGACTCTTAACATCTTTTAAGATAGGTGTTGGTGAGGTGCCCTACAGGGAGTGGACCGAAGGCCCAGAGGGGAAGTGCCCTGAAGGGCACCAAAGACAGATTTCCACATGTGATGTAAACGTCCAAGGCTTGCCCTATTCAGATTCAACTCACTTCAGAAGTTGGGAGGGATTGCTGGGAGTGTGGCTCAACTAACTGGTAGTGAGTGCACTTGCCCAGCAAGCACAAAGCCTCGAGTTCAAATCTCAGTACTGCCACAAAAGAAAAAGAAGATAGAAGAGACTTTTGAGCTATCTAGTTGCTAAGGACACAGTATGGATGGGCACAGGTGTTCTTGGGAGGAAAGGGCATAGTACCAGGGGGCTCTTAGGCAGAGCCATGACCTCACTGAGCATCTGGAAACTAGTCAATGGCAGCGAGACAGCACATGCTGGGAAGTACCAGTCTTCCCCCATGGTCCCCTCATACTGCTTCGGTACGTAAGACACTAACTTCGTGTACTTCTGTGTTCCTTTAGAAACAAAACCTTACTTAGAACTAGTGAGAACTAGCCATTAGTCAGCTGATTATCCAAAAGCACACGATGACTCCAGGCCTTGGTTGCAGGTACGTGCTTGCTGTCTAAGCATTTGGTCGGCTGGAGGTTTCTTATGGAAGTGGTCCCATTCCTGATCTCAGCTGATACATGACTTTCAGGCGTCAGCTCTACGTGAAGCAGCGGCAGGCCAGGACCTGTTTCCTTTCATTCTTATTCCTTCGGTATATGCTGACCCACTTCTTACTGCAGTACTTCCATGGATTGCTTTATCTTGAACCTCATCTGCTGTTCCCATGGAAGGTAGAAAACACTGGGGAACAGTCTTCAAGCAATGAGTGATGGGAGGTTCACTGATGTCAGGTTCACTGAAGATGACTTGGAAAGGAAGCATCTGGTTGGCCCTGGTCTATGAGCAGCCTCAGGGAGAACAAGTCAGCAGTATGGTTTGCATTGGATCTTAGTTTCCTGGGTGGAAAAACTTCTGTTTAGCCCTGGTGGCAGCCTGATGCTGCATGTTTTATTAGTTTTCTTGGTGGCCTTCCCATCCCTGTGTCTCTTTGTACCATTCCTCTATTGATACTTCTTTTTTTTAACCAAAAAACACTACTGCCACACAAATTCTTGCTACAGATTCAGCTGTAAGAAGAAGACACATGATGAAACTTTATCTTTCCTCACATCTTTTCCTCGGTTCTAGTGAGCTAGCTTTGATGGCAGTAGCAAAGGAGAGGGTACGCTCTCAGCATGTTGGACTTCTTAGGCAGGTTCAGTGGATCCTAGGGGATAAAAGTGATAACCAACCAACAGCTCTCTGCCTCAGACATTTTTCATTGAATCCTAGCACTAGTAAGCGACCCATAAAGCTTGCAGAAAGCTGGGTGCGACTTGCCCTAGCCTTGCCGTTTGTGTCCATAATTCTCCTCAGAAAGAGACAAAATGAAACAGGGTTGATTCTTACTATTGATAATTACTATGTTCTACAGAGCTGCTGCACACACAGAATGGAGAGACAAAGGGTGAAGAAATGCAGCAGTAGCACTCACTAGACACTATGTTGACAATGAACTATACGACTTGTAGGTGAGGGTGGGAAGGAAAAACTGGGGAAGAGCAAGGGAAGGGGTGACATTGTCTGAAAAGAAATGTACTCTGTACCTGACTTACGTAACTGTAACCTCCCTGCATATCATCTTTTTCATAACAATTAAAAAAACATTTTTAAAAAGACCCTCCACTGAATTAGAATAGTGATCTATTACTTCTAGAAGAAACACAGACTTAGATTCTTGCAGGCCTGTGGTCGGTCACAACATTCTCAGCAATGGCTCAGATCTGTTTCTGCTTAAGGTCATCACTAATACTGTTGATTTTATCAATGAACTCATGGCAACAGCACTGAATAAAGAACCAATACTCCAGCCTGCATGAAGCTTACCTGACGCACATGTTTTCTCTGTAAATAAATGCACTTAGGAGCATTACAGAACACATCAGTACTGTACTTGGGGAGCTGAGGTGACACAGAGAAATCACCAACAAAAACCCGAAGATATGAAACACATAGCACTTTTTTGGGTCTCGTAAAGCACACTGGTTGAAGCGAGAAGGCAGATGCAGTCATGTTCATTGTTTTCTTCTGAGTCTCCTATACAACGCTGACAAAAAGAAGCAATTTGATTGCTTCTTTGGTCAGAACAATTTGATTTCTTGTGATAGAATCTGCCAAAGCGACCTGTGTTTTTGCTCACTGTTTCCTCCTCATTCCTTCATGAGTGAAGTGAGTCTTCTAATCGAAGCCCAGCCCTTCTAACCACACTGGGGACCCAGTTGCTCTTTGGGATACTCTCTCAAAAACCATTCATCTCTCTCTCTCTCTCTCTACTTGCATATTCCCAGGAATGTATAAATGGACTTCCCTTAGACGCTATATCCTGTCTAGACACCACCTATTTTTTTCACACCGCGTAGCAAAATGACTGAAGAAGATCTGAAGTCTGAAGTCACTATCTTCACTTACATCACATTCTAAGCCACTGATGCTTCCAAAGAGAGCTCTTATCAAGGTCACCAGTAGATACTGTATTACTAGCCTAATCTTTTCTTTTTTTCAAACTTTGATGGTACTGGAGTTTGAGCTACTGGAGCCGTATTTCGGGTTTTCCTTTTTGTGCTTTGGTTATTTTTTCAGAGAGGGTGTCTATCTCAATCAGTTATTCTTAGTCCTCATCTGAGCAAGTATAGAAGAGTGGTTATAAATCTAGACTTTGGATTCACTCAGACCTAAACTGGACTCTCAGCTTCATCATTTTCCAGCTTCAGGATTTGGGGGAAATCCATTCCCACACATAGAAAACACAGATTAAAACTAGCATATACTAGATACAGTAGCTGACCTCCCTAATTCTCATTGTTCTCTGAAAAAATGAGAATGAATGCATACTCTGGAGACAGAGATCTTGTCAGGATTTAGAAAGAGAACCTATGTAAGATCTTTGACATTATTCCAGGTTTATGGGAAACACACCACACACACACACACA